ATGCTTTCCCATATAAATATAAAATCTGTCACTTTTTTAATTTCTCAAACTTTTAATGACAGCCAAAAAAAATTTCAAATATATAAAATATAATCAGAAAATCAATCGCTTTACTCAATACTTAATCACTGCATCTCCAACAATCATTGAACACCGCTCTAAGATTCGTCTTTCCACGGATCTCTTTAAGAAAGCCTCCAGCAAGATAAACTGAAAGAATTCTTTTTTCCCGCAACATGTTATCAATGGTAACTTTAAGCACTACATACGTGACCTACACCTTCAGACTTTCTAAGTTATTTGGCACATATTATGACCGCCTTGTACTAGACGACTTTAATTTGAGAGATGTATATATGCTGTCTAGCAATCCTTCTAGCCTCTCAATATATGCAGCTCCAGGCTGGTTGTGTTAATATTTGCTATGTACACTCGCCTAACGACACTTGCTTCACGTTTCGTCTAATGGACACTTCACCACTACTCTCATCACTTCATCTAGGTTGATATGATAACTAATATCATTTCTCCTTTGCCCAGCAACAGTTTCAAGCGAATTTTCATTCCCTCAAATGTCTTTTTAAGAATTCAATTATCTCTGCTACCCTCAAATACACCTATTCCCCGAACTTCGTAGGCATTAAATCATCTGATTTGACGCCATTCATCAGACATCAGAGAAACAGCTGTAATACGACACTGCATTAGGAACGACTTCTTTCTGTACACCATCCGATTTCCACCGCAAAATTTCCACCCGCGAGCAGGACAAAGATGCCATCATTTGTCTTGAATTAAATTATCTGTTCAAGAAATATTTCTGCAATAACTGCAACTCGAACAGTTAAAATGAATATTACAACTTATTTATCCATCTGATGTCAATAACCGAATAATATTGTCGGAATCGCTTGCGGTCAGGAGATACGTGAACAAGTACTGTGCTCTGTTAATAAACCATTCACCCGCAACTACACTACAAGCGGTAGTAACAATTTTATTATCGTCAGAAATTAAAACAACATAGAACAACGTTATGAATCCTTTCATTTAACATGAGAACATCTTATCTTCACACGGGATTTGGGATTGGCTCGAAATATATAAATTTGATAGAGAACACAGCCAATGTAACATATAATCAATAGCAATATCACAAACAGACACGCATATCNTATTATATCGCCTAGGATACGAAAGAGGATTAAGTTCATCCCTGAATGAAATGCCATCTATCCAAAGATGCCGGGATGTCATTAGCTTTACCGACGGCCGGTTGTGACTCTACAATCTTCTTCCACGCTTCCTGCGATGCCATGTGCGCCGAGCCCTCAACATTCGTTTCACTGAAACATCACAAATAAGAACCTGAAGAACACTATGCCTCACTCCATTTATAATTAGCCAATTAAATTATGAAATTCTATATAATTATGCCCAAAGATTTAATGTATTATATCTAAAGATTTAATGAAAAAGTCGATGAATGAAAAGAAAAACGAACGTATTCAACTGTGGCGAAGCCTCTTTGATGAGTTTCTTCCAAAATTCGTGTGTTTCAACGATGATCTGAAGAATAGAATCAAGAAATAATTCAGGTGAGAATGAAGTTCGAAGGCGATCGCTGGAAAATGATACTTCAACAAACTAATAGAAACGGATCATTTTTGCAAAGGAACCAAAAATATAAAGGTCCTTCACTAACCTTCTCTGCGAATTCAGCATTTTTGTACTGACCACCGAAGCCGAATTGGTTTGCCGGTTTACCAGCTGGGATCTTATAAGTGCGGAACCATTCGTGAGTAGCCTTCAAACAAACGATTCAAGCAATTTTCCCACGAATAACTGGAGACAAAAGTGAATCCAAAGTTTTAAATTCATAAAAATTCCCGAACAGAAATCAACGAAATTCGAAGTATATGGTAAGAAAATACTGAGGGCACGAAGACTGACCATATCTATAAAAAAGTAAAATGCCTAAAGCAAAACAACCTAATTACCAACCCTCAGTAATCCCGGAAAATGCTTCTCAACATCTTCGGTTGAATTGATTTCCGCAGCAACCGGGTCGCTGACGTCGATCGCCACTAATTTCCAATCTGTTTCACCTTCGTCGATGAGCGCAATTGTGCCCACAACTTTAACCTTGAAACAACATTTTGCTTACGTTTACTGCATCTTTTAAAATACAAAACTCGTCATAGAACATAACAAAACGCAATCAATAAAAGAAAAACTTCCAATGAACAAAGACAAAGTGCAATTACCTTTACAATATCACCACGTTTATGAATTTTGGAACCAATTTCGATCACATCAATAGGGTCATTATCCCCTTTCGCTTTCGTCTCTTTGTCCACATGTCCCGGATCTTCCCAAGTCTGAGGTAACGCCCCATAGTTCCAAATGTAGCCATGATGTGGGAACACATTATCGACGAAGCGAACTGCGCCCTTCTTGATGTCTTGCTTGATTGGGCTCATCGCTTCTTTTGTTGCCATCTGCAAATTGAATACGGCTCCATGTTGAAACATTCCACATATTGTGTTCGATAGATATTTTCTCCACCTATGAGAATAAATCTGTGAATTTGATAGAAATACGACCAAAAGACTATATCATATTCAGCGTTAACATTCATTTATAAATAAGGCCTCATCAAAATAAAATGTCAGTAGCAGCTGTAATATCATACCTCCATCTTGGCGTTTGTCCACCTTGGAATCTCGACGATCATATTGTAGATTTTCTTGGCTTCATCCGCATACAATGGCACATCGTGCCATGGTGAGATGTAACCTTTCGGACCCTCTGTAATCATGAACTTAAGCCAGTTGAAAAATTCTCTTTATGTCTTATGATAATGAATATTTCCAAAAATTAAAACATTCATTATTTCAAAAATACCCCTAAAACGATGCGTAAGATTTACAAAATGTGCCTATGAATAAATTCTGATAAAGCAATCGAAGTGAGTCAAAAATATTCAAACAAACTGACTGAAGTAAACACGATAATCAGTCGTATAGAGTGATCCTTTCTCTTCGATCGAATAGCCGTGTGCGTCTTCACCACCGCTCATTGTCAAATAATGCTTCGACTGCTGAGTTTGAGACCTACAAGGCATCAATTACTGGAGATATGTGTCATTCATGAAGTCGTATGAATACACAAATATTCACTGAAATTAGTTTCGGACTGAAACGCTCATCATACTCACATGGCAACAATAACTGAATATTGCAACTCATCGGTGCAAGTGTCACGTTCACAACTGACATGCAATCAGTCAACGTTATTTATGCAGGCAAAATCAATGAACAATGCCAACTTCAGCCAAATAAAGCACTGCGAAAACCAACTAAACGCAACGATTCTCGTCATAGACCGTATTTCACTTGAGAAACACACATGTGTTGTTATGCAAGCCACTTTGTAAAGAAGCATTCAAAAAGCAACCAAACTCATTAACACTAAATATCTCAACTTCTATGCTATTCCTCACTATCATCGGTAACTATTCGTTTCACAGTTTCTATCAAATAATTCCACCCTACTGCAGCACATCTTCGCAGAACATTTACAAACACATTGTGAACCAAAACTGAGACAGAAGTTCAAAAACTGAAATGAAATGCGAGTCGCGCTCGATTCAGCCCGACTCCTTCCCGCCGTTATCAATCAAACCGTACATTAAACGCTACCACGCATCACACTAACAAACCCTACATCTGTACTCTGTCAAATATTCCAATACAAAGTGAGTCATCGGCGTGTAAATCGTTTGAAACAAACGCAAATGGAATCAAGAATACGCAATAAACAAATGATTATAAAAATCTATACTACAGTTGATTTCACAGCACCACTACTGCGATAGTACGATAACGCTTTGATTGCAAAAATCAATTTAAATGTGGTGCTTTACACAAATGTATGATATGACCAATGAGAATGAAGAAAAAACAACGAGTAAGTTTAGTGGGATAGTGAGGGTGTACCGCAATCACTAACTACACTATTCACTTTTTTACGCAAAGATGAACTGATGAAGTCGACCTTCGTTGTATTAATTTTTCTTCTTCACCACTTCTTACTCCCACTTNCTTTTTATAACAATGCGAAAGACATAACGCTGAAGCCCCTCAAATTAGGAATGAGTGGATAAATGAACAAGAAGCATAACCTATGCATAAGACTAAATAGATGCGAAAGCTCACGCATTAAAGTGCATCATGCATTAAACCTTCGTGCATCACGTCCATCAACAACACACCGTCTCATATTTTTCTGTATGCGTGATCGATTGAAATTTACAAGTTGGCAATAAAATGCTACACAATCAATTATTGCATGCAGAGATTAAATAGAAATAACAATAATTCTCACTAACACTCAATCATTTTAAAGTCAATCTTATGATACACACAACCGAACGAAACACACTCATCATCACTATGCACCAATAGGATCATACTTTCATATCAGTGCATGATCGTCTAATGATTCCACTCATAATCGACGTAATCCTCTTTCGTTTCTGGTTTATTAATTCGACTTGTCGAGACATCTCTCAGAATTATGGTTAACGATCACAGCACACATTTTAATTGGATCGTGTTCACTCCGATTTCATTTAATATCTGCTCAATAAGTATTTCGTTTGACAAAATGCTTTTGATTACATACATCTGTCGGAGAAATGAAAACGTTCAGTGACAGGAAAAAATGCAATACGGCAAATGCAATTCTTATTTCCAAATGCAAGGCACAAGTTTGCAATTTGAAGTAACCCCTGAGCATCAATCAACAATCAGTCAAAAAGAAGATCTCTTTATTTATGTGAGAATGCCAGCGGAATATTTAACCTGAGTTGTTGATGTTCTTTTCTGAACATGTAACGATAAGGTCGAATAAATGAATGTGAATCAGAAGATGGGTCGGTTACCAGAGTACGTCTTGAGGAGTTGAGGCTTGAGGAAGATGTGGTGCTGAGAGTGGTGAATGATCGTCGAACAAGTTGTGGAAGCAAACTGGATTCTCGAAAAGCTAACGGGAGTGCAAACGATATTGTTGCAGATGCAGCCAACGTTGCAGTCAAATACTTACAACAACACTTAGCAGATGTCGCATTGAGCAGGCATTGCAAACGTCCATTAGACAACAACATTTTGCTTCAATCGATTTTCTGGAGGATTCACGTACGCATCAGAACGTTAGAAAACTTTTGCTTTTTCGGTACACTTCATATGGATTCGTTCAGAATTCATTAGAGGTGTTCAAGCATTACACGAATCACTAATTACGGCAATCTCATTTCCGTTCTTTCATCTATCTACTTAAAAACGTTCAATTTTGTCTCCACAACGCTGCACAAACTTACTGCTTGTTAAATTTACTATTGACATTTCATTACTGAAAAATTGAGCAAGGATTTGACGAAGACAAGCGGAAATGATTTGTTTGGCAAATGCATACGAATAAATACTTCACTTTAGGAATTTCAACTTGTAAATTTTTGGAGAACATTTTGTTTTGCTCCATACAATCTATTAGGCATCATTTAATTAGTGCCCGATCTGAATTAACGCGAATGACAAAAACGTTTACGATATTCTTAAAAGACGGAAACCAATTTCAAAACTAAGACGCCATCCGAATATTTAACGCAAAACGCAAACTGAGGATATAGCTGAAGCCAAAAACAAGTTCCCACTTCCTACTTGCAACAGAGTCTTACGACTGAGCACAAGTGCTCGAGCAAATCAGCGGCAAACTCTCTGTTCACATCGATGGAACAGCAACAATGACTAAAGCATTATCGAACGATTGTGAAATGAACCACTATTTCAGTTAGAGGACGACTTAATGCTTTCACCAAAAACTATTTGAACTTTAACAGCTCATCAACTTAACATTACACACACACAAAGAAACACAAACACGCTTAAAACAGTACATGTAGGTAAGTTGTAACGTTAGTACACTGACAACAGCCAAACACCACTTATGCTTTAAACTGGCTTTTTCTGCAAAATTATTAGTAAAGTGGATATTGTTTATCTGATTGAAGTTCGATCAAATCGAATAATACCTCCGACAACCGGATAAAGGTTAACCCAACGACTTTTAGAAGCATGCTCATACCAGTCGAATCGATTACGAATGTACAAAAATGAAACAAGTTCAACTGACGCATAAATACAGTTATTTTTGGATATCTAGATTACCTCGGACTACTTCAATGCACAAAAACAATACAAGCAGTTCAACAACCTCGAAATACAGCAAAATGTCATCGAACGAAAAACGCCGACTCACAAAAACAGCAAAAATGTTCAGTCCTAATAACATGAGTTGGCTATGAAATCGTTGGGTGTCACTAGGCAATAACAAGTGCAAGACAAGCATACGGCTCTTATTAAGCCTCACCACTCTCAATATTTCATACTCTCCAATCGAATTTTCAATCTTCTTCAAAATGCACGCTTCTATCTATCTCACTGTTAATATTTAGAAAATTTTCGGTTCACTTTCCATAATGTTGAGAGGTTTGTTTTCTGTAGTATTATAAAATTCTCTCATTCTATTAGAACTGATGTTGTATGATTGATTTTCAACCTCGTCCATACACTCTGTTATCATTTTCTGAAACTGATTCTGGAGGGTGTTGATTATGAAACGCATATGAATCGTTTGCGAGGCTGCATGTGAGCTGTGCTCCGAATTCATGATAGTTTCTCGGCTGCTTTCAGGATTTTCTAATATCAGAGTATTTAAGTATTTCACCGGAACGAGAAAAATTGGTGTGGAATATGTAAACCTTGATACTAACATTTCTGATACACTAACGGAAAATGTATGCTAGTTTCAGGTGGATAAAAGAACCCATGCACAGAGTGCAATAGAGAATTTGATGTTCGGAGGAAATGTGCAGCAAGCAACACGAGGACATCATTTTACCTGATGTTAAGGAAGTGAAACAGCGAATTTTCAAGAGAAGGAACAATCACCTCACAACATCTCCCTATGCTTTGTATTCTTGGCGCTTTCACCATCGCGCTTTCAAAAGCCCTCAGAAGAAACAGTACAATACATATCCACATGTTATTTTCAAAAATTCAGTCTATCAAAATTAAATCGTTATGACAGAGACGACTTCCACCTAATAATCTCTACACTCATTTTGTGGGGAATTTCATTTCCATGGAAAAATTTTTCATGAGAAAAAATTTCATGGGAAGGAAAAATTCGAAATTTCGAAGAATCCCAACAATTCAGTTTGTCAAAATCCTAAACCATTTCATCAATAAAGTCTACCTACAGATGTCTTGTATAAACCTTTACGTTTAACTAAAATGACTTAGAAATAATGAAAGTTGAACAAAACGAACAATTCACGATTCCTGTTCCAGTTTTGAGGATGAAAAAAGTTTCAAGAATTGTTCAATTCAAGGACTGAAAAAATCAAAATTGCTAATTAACTTAAACAAAACTAACTGCTCTTCTTTGCTGCTGTTACATTCACTGCTTTTACCATCATCGGATCGTTGCTGAGTGATCACCACTAACACAATGAGAATATCCAAAATGATTGCTACGCAAATCGCAGAAATGTACATCACTTTTTTAATATTCATACAGTAACGACGGTCACTGAATTTATGCAAGCTCGTTCGTAAGGTCTGTTCAGTTCACTGAAACTTTGAAATATTTGTGATAAATCGTGTCAGTGTGCCTTGTCAGTGAAACAATCTTTGTTCGCATACATTATTATAATGCCACAGTTCATCATCATCATCGATGCTATTAAATGAAAGAGCACCGTTAAAAACAAACTTTTTATGTTCACTTCGTTCATCCACCTAGCACCGATAATCAGACTCCCTCAGTAGTATATTTACATTTATGCTCCGTTATTTACATTTATGTCTGTATCATTTTTCCTTCTGTATTTTTGATTGCGCAAAAATTCGATAGTGAATCATAGACATATTCGAATTTTTAGACAAAAACCAGATGCAGATAATTAAAAGTGAAAAAGGCAAAAATATCAGAAATGCTTACAAATGAGAGTAAAATCCATCATTACGTAACAGTAATTACGAGCGAATGGGACCGGTTTTG